GATCGCCGATAGTAGAGATAAAGCTGCGTATTTTTCACGGTTTTTCCAATCAGTCTACACAAACGAGGCAAGGTTCCTTCCTCCCTCCACAGAAGAACTGCCGATTCCAAGCATCAGTGATATACTCTTCTCAGAAGGCATTTTCCGAAGAGAATTAGAGGCATTGAACGAATCGAAGTCGCCAGGACCAGACGAGATTCCATCCAAGCATCTCAAGGAACTTGCCAGTGAGCTTTCTGTGCCTTTGTCAATGCCCTTTCAAAGGTTATTTGACACTGGAACACTTCCTATCGATTGGAAGCTGGCGCATATTACTCCGCTACGCAAAGGAGTTAACAGGGCAGCGACGACAAATTACAGGCCCATAAGCTTTTCATTCATCCTCTGCAAAGTGATGGAAAGGATCATAAGGAGTGAACTGATGGAATTCCTGGAAGTTCACGGCCTGCTATCGAACTGCCAACATGGGTTCCGAAAAGGAAGATCCTGCACGACAAACTTGCTGCAATCTCTCCAGAGCTGGACCCAAAGTCTCGACGACAGGCACGAGGTCCACATAGCCTTCATCGACTTCCAGAAGGCGTTCGACACTGTGCCACACCAAAGGCTCTTACATAAGCCGAAAAAAATAGGGATCGGTGGCAACTTCCTTAAATGGATCGAAAACTTCCTTGTGGGTCAACACCATGTTGTGTGCATCGGTCGGGGAAAATCAGATCCGGCCATGGCCGATAGTGGTGTCCCCCAGGTTTCAGTTCTGGGACCCATTTTGTTCCTTATCTACGTGGACGATGCCGCAAGAGACTTAGACTGTGAAGTAGCAATGTTTGCGGACGACATGAAGATATGGAGTGTAATTCGGTGTCCTGCCGATGAAGACAGACTGCAGATGAACCTGAATCGGTTGGAGGAGTGGTCAAACCGTTGGCTCCTGCGGTTCAACGTTGCCAAATGTAGCATACTTCGCCTAGGCAACAAAGCCAGATCCGCCAGCACAAGAGGCTACTTTCTGGGCGGTGCAGCCCTACAAGAGGTCGAAGCCCAAAGGGACCTCGGTGTGCTGACGACGAGTTCCCTAAAACCATCCGCCCACTGTTCGAGGGTGGCAAAAACCGCAATGTCCGTACTGTACGCCATCAAGCGTGCGTTTATGGACTTTGACGAAGAAGCCTTCTCTAAGACATTCGGAACATTCGTCCGGCCGCATTTAGAGTACGGCATACAAGCTTGTAGGCCGTGGGGTGTTGTGGATCAAAACTGCCTCGAAAGAGTCCAGAGAAGAGCCACGAAGATGGTTAGGGGTCAAAGCTCCTTTCCTTATGCAACCCGCCTAGTAAATCTGAAACTCTTTCCTTTGAGTTACAGACAACTTCGCGGGGATCTCTTGCAAGCCTTCCGCATTATAAGGGGGTTGGATTGCAGTCTGGCCTTCGAGGACTTTTTTGAATTTGCTACCACGACCAACCTCCGAGGTCACCCGTTAAAACTGCGCACTCAGCATGCACGGTTGGATGTGCGGAAGTTC